CTACTTTCATTTCGTTATATCATCATAGTTGAATGGGCCCGCTCAATTCCTATTGCAGATATTTTATCTCACCATAAAGTAATAAGAGTTGCATAATTTTGGTTAACCGTTAAGAATTATCTGAAATAACTGTTATTTACATAATTATTTGTTGATACGCTGTTTTCAGCGCATACTATTTTTTAGTGTTTAAGATTATTGTGGGACACGAAAACTCAAAAAAGCACTGTTCTATGGAAACAAGGAATTTGTTCAAGTACAAATTATTGTTATCTACTAGTGACTCTTTCGTCAAAAATATCGACAGTTAGTTGAAAAATGACATCTATGAATGAAAAAGATAATCTGAGTGTCGCTATTCAGTTTTTCGCCTCTTTGTACCCTCCACAAATCAAAATGTATACGAGAATAAAGGCTGTGTATGATGATGACTACAGTTATTCTAGGATGGCAGTGTTCAAATGTGCTATAAATTTCGATAAGAAAGAGAATTTAAATTAGAAGTGAAACAGCTAAAAACTGCTACGCAAATAGGCGCTGCACATTTTGGGGATTATCGTGAGAACTGTTTATTCTCTCATTTACAGTTTTGGCTAGTGTAAGTTTGCTGCTCAGTGGACTCCAGTTATAATCACTGATTTCTATCGGCCTCATCAATAAATAAATTCAATCCGCTATATCAGCGACATTTTTCAACAAATTGTTCCCGAAGATATCTACCCAACGGAATACAAACGTCAGAGTATGCAATGGAAGCCAACATAATCTCCAAAGAAAGAGTTTGGTTCCAACATTCGGCAGAAAAAGAGATGCTCTTAGATTAAGAAACTGTGCTGGGATTCTGGAACGAATAGCGTCTATTGTCATCCCCTCTCTATTGATTTCGATAAGAGAGAAAAAGATAATGTCAAGAAGTTGTTCAGATCTATTATTTGCTGGGATGGATTTGATATTGGTCCTTTTCCCATCTGTTCATTTCTTCGGAGACGTGGCTTTTCATTAGTCCACAAAAAGGCTCTGGACCTTGGAGAGGTGTTACAGCACCTTGCTTTGCGAGGCGGTCTGCCTCCTCGTTGCCTTCTATGCTCTGGTATCCTGGCATCCACATCAAGGTTATTTTGTTCCTCCCAGCCAGTTGCTTAAGGATATTTTTACACTCCCAAAGTGCGAATTGCACTTGATGGGTTCTTAGAGCCTTTAGAGCCGTTTGAATGTCAGTAAATGCGCTCTCTTGACACAGATGTTTACAGTACCTCGGCTTAAAATATTGTGGGCTTATTACCCATTGCTAAGGAGAGTTTAAAGTTTGGTTCAGTAATTCTCTGGTGTACCACAATGATGCAATGTTCGCTTGCGGTAGCTTTGCGTTCTTCCATGATTGGCGTTCTTTCACAACCACTTCATATGGATTGTCAAAGTCCAGAGGTGGAATTCTGTAACTGATAGAGATCGTCATCAATATCGCTATCGCACTTGCTGTCTTTTTCTATCCTTTCAAAATCAATAGAGAGGGGATGCCAATAGAGATATCGAAACTATCTCTATTCGTTACAGAATTCCACCCCAGTGATGTTATCAATGAAGTGGTAAGTGGTAACATCGTGTCATTTTGTTCCAAACGACATGAGAACCGTTCTAGAACGGTAATTTCCAGTCGATCAATTCATTTTTCAATTAGGATAAATGTTCAACTTTTGAAAAATAGGTGGGCAACTGGAAATTACCGTTCTAGAACGGTTCTCATGTCGGTTAGAACAGAGCCCATATGATCTATTAGTTTACTTTGTCACTCGAGCTTTATAGACTGAAGGATGAGTAATGGCCATCCAGATCGCGTTACATTTTTTTGACTGGAATAGCCTATAGGCATCTATTCTTGCCTCTTTTTTCAAATGGGTGAAGAGGAGGCATGTTCAACAGTGCCTCTAAGACTGCGATGGGGCAGGTTGACATAGCTTCTGTTATTCCTAGACAGATTAGCTTTTGTAATTTACGTAGACTGTTCTGTACAGTAATTTGCTCAGTCCTTGGCGGCCATACCAACGAGGCGTAGGTGACAATGAGTCTGACAACCGTTTGGTAAATCCAATATACCATTATTGGTCTTATATCTAATATTTTTCCCACGAGTTTTCGGCATCTCCAAGTGGCCGCCGTAGCTCGTGATATTGTTTTGTTCAGATAATTGTCTCAAGTAAGCGAAGGAAATAACGATCTCTATCCGTTGTAAAGTCCGTGTCGATATTTACGCTCAGCTATAATCAGAAACTAAAGCGCTTACGTGCTTATATCAGGAATAAACATACCGGAAAGCTCACAAATTGAGTTATGCTCCAATTCAACTAAGATAGACGATTGAAGATCTGCTTGAACGTATAGATTTGTAATTCTAACAAAATCCATCCTATACTTACGACCTCTCCCTTTGCGATTTTCCCATTTTCGACACATGAAAAAAATCATGGGAAAGGGCGGCCGTTCCGCGGTTTAATTCGGATATAGGGAGAGTTTCCTATTAGAAAATGAATTTGCAAAAAGTGGCAGAAGTTTTACCAGCAGGCTACATATGTGTGTTATTCGTTGAGTAAAAAATAAACTTCTACCTATTAATAAGCAATCATTCCTTTAGGAGAGATTTTCTCAGAGAGATGTACCTACTTCAACTAACCCTAGTTCAAAAATAATGACAATAATATGCTAACATTAACCTGTTTCTATGCCTTGTACTTTGGAAAACACATAATTAATTCGATGGAAACGCTATGAAAATAATTACGAATGCTGCAAACCGCATTAGTACTTATAATGTATCTACACTCAGTCTCAAAATTAAATATAAAAGACAAAATGATATGATGTTGTTACCACTTCATTGTTAAATTAATTGTTGAATAGTTTTGATGATAATGATTTGATAATATTAACTTTTCTCCTAAAATTTTGACTTGGGGTTTCATATTTAATTTTGAGACATACATATATACAGGGTGTTTCACGAACATCAAAACCGAGGCGTTTTAGAGTATTTTAAGGTCAATTTAAAAGAAAAAACGCTTGGACACGCCAATTTTGTATTCAAGGGGGAAACTTTTTGACCCCATCGGTTTTTCGCTAGGGTGCACCCCCTGGGTGGAGTGACTTTAACCCCTTTTTTTTAGATAGGGAAGATGGGTCGAGCGGTACCTTGTTTTGAAGGTATTCTGATTCTCGTCATAACTGCGTATTTTTATGAAAATCGAATGATTAGTTTTCTCAAGATATTCACTGTCAAAGTTACCATGGGCTAAATAAGAAACAATTTTCTGGCCCTGTTATTCTCAACTTAACACTTTTCTCTCGAACACATCAATTTTCACACTTTCACACTTTACTTAAATAAACTGATCCTTTGAGATTTTTGTTGCCCCTATAATTCGTTCACCAATTCTTATTCCATTCCAAATATTACAATTTTGAATAGTATGAGATTCGGCCATCCAATGAGGATTGTCATCAACCCAGTAGCTACAGTTGTGTCGATTTACGTGCCCAATTACCACAAAAGTGGATTAATATGAGAAAAAAATCCATTCTCTTGATATCCAGTTTTGATCTAGAGCATTCATCATTGTTTTTAAAAAATTGTAATTGTATTCACAGATTTCAAGAAATTGAGTGTGAAACTGTAGGTAATATTCAATGTAATTGATAATATTATTGTTGCGAACTAATTGTCTAGTCAAATTTAGAGGATTTTTCTGGTAGCTCAGTAATGGTTCAGTCTTGTACCTCATTCACCCTAGCTGGTCTTTTCCTTGGAACATCTTTCATATGCCCATCTTCATAATACCTGGCTTCAATTTTACTAATAAAACCCCCAAAAAATTAGTTTAAGTTGATTTAAAACAAAAAATGGAACTAAAAATTTTGAGATTTGAAACCGAACAAATACAAGGAATGCTAGATACTCTGTTACTATATCCAAGCGTCATCAAGACTGCAATTTTTAAGGCTTTGGTTAAATGAGCCTTTTTAGAAATTACAGAGCGAGAAGCCTTTCTCTGTCTCGAGGAGGTGCTTGCATAACATAAAATTTTTGTCATTAGACCGAAAACTTTAGTAATTTCTAGTTCAATTTGAAGCAAATCCGGTATCATGGGTTGATTTAAAACAAAAATTGGAACTGAAAATTTCAAGATTTGAAACCGAACAAATACAACTAATGGTAGGTAGGTACTCTATTACTATATGCTAGCATCATCAAGACTGCAATTTTTAAGGCGTTGGTTAAATGAGCCTTTTTAGATTTTACAGAGCGACAAGCCTTTCTCTCTTTCTCGAGGAGGTGCTTGCATACCATAACATTTTTGTCATTAGACCATTGTAGTTTCTAGTTCAATTTGAAGCAAATCCGGTATCAGGGGGTTTTTGGTATCGAAAATCGCTTTAGCGCATAAACACTCTCAAGGTATACAGGTATTTGTGACCTTTATTTATTCAATCATCCTATTTAAATGATGCACATCCTTGATGGAAAATAATGTGCCTTTTTTGTTCACACGACTCGATTAGAAAATGTGGAAAGAGAAACCAATCAAAACTATTTCAATTCCAATTTTGACAACCTTTCAACAGAATAATAAGTTTCAATTTGTTTTGACTATGATGAAATGGATCATTAAAACTGTTAGAGAAATTAATAAAATATAATATTTGATGTATTTTTGCTTAAAACAAATATACGACAAACTATACTTATTCGACTGAAAGGATTACTGGTGATTCTTTTCATGAAACTATAGAGCATTTCTTACAATTATAATCATTAACTGCAAGTAAATTAGTTAAAATTATTCATAATTTTCGCAATTTTTCAGTAGTTAAAGCATATGAAAAAACTGTTAATCATTTGAAAAAAAAAATTAAAAGCAGCGTAACCGATATGCAAATGATGATGCGCAGAAGCTTATCAGAGAGTCATAGGAGATGAAATAGTAGAAGTGACTATGGTGACAATTTACCTGGTTACTTTGCCATGAGTAGATTCAGGTTTTCAGAAAATTGTCGTCATTCTGCATTCTTATACAAAAAGAAGAAAAAGTTTATTCTTCCATTTTTGTCCATAATAAAATAATTCAACTAACGCTTCATCCAGCTATGATGCAGCTGCTGAAACAAAAGGATACTCGTAGAATGCATTCAAGAGATTCAAATTAAAAGTTATCTATTTAGTGAAGGAAAGTTGAAACAGTAAATCCGAAACTTTATGTTTTCTTCGCAGTTTTGCTAATCATCGTGAATATTTACCACGCAAAAGCTTGTGTTAATGTCAAAGGTAAAATTCTTGTTTATTTCTCAAGAATTCTACTCTACAATGATTCATCTAGTGCAAGAATCACGAGCTTTCGCGAAGGTTGCCATTGTCTACGCCACTGTTTTCTATATACAATATTATATTATTGCGTATTTTTTCTGATTTTTTATTATATTGCTCATGAGAAATTTGATTTTTAATTATTAAAAATAAAATAGAACGTTTTATTATCGATATTTAAATTGGGCCTTCATTGAAAATAAATTTGCGACGCGAAAAATAAAAGTTTGTTTACTAGGAAGTACAAAAACAAAAACAAAAAAACTGCGTTGCTATTTTATAACGATTATGTCTTATGCCTGCGTGTTTGTGTAAGATAGCAACAGGTTATTTCAGTTTTGATATATAAGTTACCTACTTACCCAGAGATGACATTTTTGTCCATTTATCAAACGTCAAAAAATAGCGGCAAAATCACTCGGTTTGAAAATCTGAATCTTACAACTACATTTTTATCACGCGAAACTTTGTTGCGTATCGGCGCGACGCCGACTTGCGGAAACTTAAGACTCCAAACAACTATACCTACTCAGTTGTTTATCCACTACGCGTTTTCGTCATCAAATTGCACTGTTCATAATGTAATACTGTAGTCTAGGAGCTAAGCAAGAGCGGGTAAGGTAGAGCGCGATATTCAGCAAACAGATTAGCGCGCCTGTTGTAACGGTAAAGTGTGTACTACAAGCACAGCTAGAAGCGCCTGCAATAAGAATAAACAAGCAAAGCAGCGCGCCGCTGCTACCTCAGGTGCAAAGTAGGCCACAGACTGTCAGTTTAGAGTGTATGGCCAACTGCATAATGCTAGCAAAAAGATAGTAGAGAGAGTGAAACCAACGAGCGAGTGGGGAGACACAAACATCTTCCTGCTTTATTTTGCGGCAAGTCTGTTGGCCTGCGAGAGGTCGCTCTTTGCTTTGTTTACCTGTTTGACAGTTTTCCTTTCTATTTTCATACTATGTGCTATGGCCGAAATTTTACGTAACACTTCGTTGTACCTAGCGTTTTGCTTAATTGATATCTATTACTTTCTATCAATAGGCATTAAATAATTGTAGACTGAGTTTAGTTTAGGAAGAGTTGAGCGATTTTGGAAAAGGCTGCTGTAATTTCCAGATTTGCTAGAGATTTTCGGTCTAGAGTCAAAGAACAAGCCTTTAGTCATTCGGACGAACACATTTAAAAAAAAAAAAAACTAAACTCACCATATGGATTACGGTGATAGATTGCTTACCTGGAAAAGAGAAACAATTTTTAGTAAATAATAGGTATAGGCAAAAATAGGCATAGTTTCTTGATAATTATTTGATAAAGTTTTTGAGGATTAGGAAATTTTATCATCACTTTTTTCTCCTCTGGGAGTTTACAGAACACTAGCCTAATCAGCTTGACTTATTACAAAAATTTCCAAATTCAAACTGATCCGATAAGGCTTACTTATATAGTGCCTATATTTCAGATGGAAAACAATATACGATCTGTCAGGGCAACATATTTTAAATTGGTTTCACAACGTTATCCTACGTCCGATTTTCAATCTGCAGTCGTTTTTATCTGGGCATAAATCTTCATCTAGGCCCTTATTACTCTCCAGCCGTTTCTAGGTCTTCCTCGTACCTTCTTTCGTACCATACCAGTTCTTATCTCGTCAACTATTGTATGTTCTCCAAGTGTCATTATTTCCTGTATTCTCTGGTTTCTCACTTTCTCCATGCGGGGTTTTACTCTTGTTGGCCTCCAGAAATCCATTAAAGTGAACAGCGTGCTTTCAGATATGGCTATGCTCATTTTCTGACATTTTTTTTCCCATATTTTGGTAACTTGTTCCACATGTATCTTGAAAAGCGTAAGAGATAGATAACACAACCCTTTTTGTTTTTCCATGCTTTTTTGTCCTATATATAAGTCTATTTTTGGCATCTTCTAGTCCATGATGTATTCCTCTTTGACCCTATCATACTTCTCACTTATGTTTGTGCATTCTTGTAATCATGTATAGTACTCCAATCTCTGATCGTTATTTTTTTCTGGATAAGTATGGCACTCTTCTTTAAGGTTTTTTTTTAGTGATTATTACTTAAATAGTCTTAGGAATTAACTTACTGGGATTAATAACATTGAGAACTAATTTGTATAAGAAATATCCTTCAGGTACCTAATCGATGATTGATTTTGAATTCTGGGAAAGTTTGGTCCAGGAATAGTTATAGTTAGGTACACTCTTGTGACAGGAGGAGAAACAATTTTGGATTCTCAAGTATGAATGTTTGCAAAGTGTGAAGAGTCTGTTAACAATACCGTTGAAAATGTCTTCCCGCAGCTACATTTGCATCATCATTTACTGCATAGATTTACAAAAAGTCTTTACGGCTTCCAAGTTGGTGATGAACTTCCAAAAGCTCCTGCTTAGCAACATGGATACTCCTTGTGGCGCCCATTTTTCCTTCACTATCGCGTTATAAAAAGGCCCATACTATCTAGCTTTTAAGTCTCCCCACAATTTTGCCTTTGTTTCTGTTAATTTTACATAAATGCTACTTCTCCTTTGTTTAGGTCCTCTTTGGTTTTTACGGTTTCAATTCCGAAGAATTTGATTGGGTTTTTCAACAGTAGGTTGATCCTGAGTATCAGAGATTTCGTCTGATGCCTCAATCCCGAACCAGAGGGATCAGGAAATTTTTGATCGAACTAGACAAATAATGTAAATCTTAATACAGTACATCAGAAAAGTGTCATGACAGACCTCTTTTCTTCGTTTAGTGGTGGAATGAGGCTATTCAATCATTAGTAATTAAAAAAAAATCTTAAAAAATGGTTCATGCAAAACGTTTTGCTATTTGAATAGACTTGGATTGGATAGGTCTTGCTCTTCATCAGAGCAGTGTGGGATTCTCAGCTGAAAACCAGAAGCAGCTCACTAGGTCAATCATTCTCGCAATTTTAAATCGAGCAGAGTGTTATTTTTTGCCAAATTGGATTCACGTCAACCTACTTGGCACAACTGGAAATTCTACTAAAAGAAGTCGAAGGATTCGCACCATTATAGTTGATGACCTCAATAGTAAATTCCTAGTCTGGAACTCCACTCGGAACGGAGTCATGTCTGCCCCAAAGGGCCATCGTCGTCAGTCCTGAATGACCAACGTACCTACCATCAGGATGTGAAAATCCTACTGTGTTTGACATACTTAAGTTTGAAAAAAGTAGCAGAAGGATTTCCAGCAGAGACTCTAGAAGAAGGTTCCTTTGATCACAATCCGGTAAAATTGATAGAGTGAGCCATCGACAAGAGGATAATCGCGCCCACCTTATGCGCAGTACCAGATAGAACAGATATAAGCGAAAGGTCAAAGAAAAGAGCGGAATTGGAATTATTGAAAATTCATAAGAATCGTGCACTTTGTGCCAAGTTTTTGAAATTTGGTATAGATTTAGGTATAGTCTTGAGGTTTTAGGAAACCATCGCAAACAACTTGTGCGCGACCTCTGGTGACCTGTTTATTGGCATTTTTAATATATGGGCTTCTATTAGTCCTAATATATGATTGAGTGATATAATATCATAATAACATTTCAGTATATAATTATAAGAATAATATGATAACGAACAGACATGGTGGACCATGTACAGAGGTCAATTCGAGACTGTTATAATGGCTAATAGTGGGATCTACATGACATGGCTGCAGGGTTGATTGTAGCATTACGTGGTCCTGCGTTAGATTTATTAGAGGATCTTCCGCCATCTTCCCAACAAAACTATGGTGCGCTTGTCGATGCGTTAGAGCGTCGTTATGGAGATCAGCACCGAAGGCAGTTCTACCAGGTACAACAAAGAACAAGGCAACAAAAAGCTGCAGAAAGCCTACAAGAGTTTGAAACCGACATCCACTGTCTGGTTAATTTGGCCTATCCGGAAGCAGCAGCAGAAATGCGAGAACAACTAGTGCCCGAAAACTTTATAAATGGAGGGCGAGATTTGGAAGTACAGAGAACGCTGCTCAAAAACAAACCATCAAGTAGCGCGAAGCTTTGAACAAAGCCCTAGAAATTTAAGTGGCATATAAGATATCCAAGCCAAAGATTAGAGCTGTGTCAATACAAAAGGAAAAAGGACCAATGAGTTGAATTGACACAATGAAAGAAATTCTTGAAAAAATGCGAAAGGTTTGTTTCAGAAGCAATCAAGGGAACTGGAAAGGGGGCATTGAATGTTACTGCTGCGGTAGAAAGGGACATTCAAAACGGGACTGTAGACTACGGCTAGGATCTCGCTCTCCTTCAGACTTTCAGCCTGCAAAGGAGAACCAGGAAAACTAAAATTAGCCAACAAGGACAGGCGGGTGTTTGCTAGTGCAAGTGAAGTCCCTGGAATCATAACCATCGAAATGCTAGGAAGGACTGTGAACAGTTTGACTAATGAAGGAAATATTAATGGGAGAAATATCATTCGATTCGAACATTGTCAAAAAGTTCAATGCAAAGCCATTTTCAAGAAAGTTGAGGCCGCAAATGAGCATGGAGAAACAGAAATTGACTTGTCCTGAGATTAGGAAATATCAAGATCTGTCACAAAGGGCAGATTGCTGATATAAATGGCAAAACCGAACCAATTATGTGTGGACAGTTGGAAAATGAGAATTTATCCATAAAAAGTGGTATTACTCAAGATTTTGTGTCTTATAGAATAACATCCCTTGAAAATACCAATACAGATGACGGCCATATTAGATTTATAGCCATCCTGCCACCCGAGGCCGCGCACAAGTTGCTTGCGGTAGTTTTCTAAAACCTTAAGACCATACCTGAGACTATACCAAATTTGAAAGACTTTGCACAAAGTGCATGATTCTTATGAATTTCCCCTATGCTAAAAGGTAGCAATCGTTGTAGAAATCTATAGTAACCAAGCCAATGCCAGGAGGGCCAAACAGAATCTCAGAAGAGACTAGACCCACATGGTTACCGAAAGCAGGAAGCTTGGGACGAAATACAGAAGCCAAAGAAATGAAAGGGGTGGGTGAACACGAAACGAGACTAAGGAAAACAGGAAAACCCTTAAAGAAATAAAAAACAACTGATGGGGTGGAAACATCCAAGAGCTCAGTATCATTGTGAACACTGAGTGGCCCATGCAGAAGTATCTGGAAAGAGAGAAAATCATCACTATTGCACATTATCAATAAGATGGTAAAGTGAAGCTTTCGCTGATACTTTAGACCGAGAAAGTCGACTGAATGAAGTCCCATAGGAAAATGAGAATCAATATTGATCAATCGTAACAAACCACCATGATAGAGCAATGACGCACCAATAATCACGTCAATCTGTGGGAAATTCAAATTCAATGGCCTTGACTAACTTCCCACAATGCTGGAAGCACACGAAGCAAGTGATAATGCTATAGAAAGCTACAAAGGACTTAACGTTACCTAAGATCTACCGACTACCGTCCCACGTCCCATCAGCCGCTTGCTTCTTTTGAGCAAACTGTCAGAGAGAGAGAGATCTATCAGCTGCGGGAGCACGAAACTCGATCACAAAAAAATTCGAATAATCGAGTCCTATAATTTTGTGAGTGACATTTAGATCGATTTGCAAATTTCCATCGAGTGATCGAATTTCGTGCTCCCGCAGCAGGTATCTACAAGATACACGAAAAAACTAAAGAACCCCAATCAACTACTGATGAAGAGTTTAGTTTCAGAGAAGGCACTTTGGAAGACTTGCGAGCTGATCTAAAGCTACCTAGTTGAC